GAATATTCTTAACATGTTTCAATGGATTTTACTTTTTGAAACAGTTGTCAATGTACAGAAACATTTGGGAAGACAGTACAGAGTTTCCATATACCCCACACTTAGTTGCTCCTATTATTAACATTTTACATTAGTATGTGAAACACTAATGTATTTGGTTACAGTTGCCAAACTAGTATTGATACATTGTTAACTGAAGTCCATACTTTATTCAGATTTACTTTTTCATAATGTTCTTTATTATTATTTTTTTTATTCCAAGAGTCTATCTAGGATAATTCCATCTAGATTCAGTTCAGTTCAGTTCAGTCACTCAGTCGTGTCCGACTCTTTGCAACCCCATGAACCACAGCATGCCAGGCCTCCCTGTCCATCACCAATCCCCGGAATTCACCCAAACCCGTGTCCATAGAGTCGGTGATGCCATACAAGCATCTCATCCTCTATCGTCCCCTTTTCCTCCTGACCTTAATCTTTCCCAGCAACAGGGTCTTTTCAAATGAGTCAGCTATTCACATCAGGTGGCCAAGTACTGGAGTTTCAGCTTTGACATCAGTCTTTCCAATGAACACCTAGGACTGATCTCCTTTAGGATGGACTGGTTGGATCTCCTTGCAGTCCAAGGGACTCTCAAGAATTTTCTCCAACACCACAGTTCAAAAGCATCAATTCTTCTGCACTCAGCTTTCTTTATAGTCCAACTCTAACATCCATAAATGACCACTGGAAAAACCATAGCCTTGATTAGATGGACCTTAGTTGGCAAAGTAATGTCTCTGCCCTTTAATATGCTGTCTAGGTTGGTCATCACTTTCCTTCCAAGGAGTAAGCGTCTTTTAATTTCATGGCTGCATCACCATTTGTACTGATTTTGGAGCCCAGAAAAATAAAGTCAGCCACTGTTTCCACTGTTTCCCCATCTATTTGCCATGAAGTGATGCGACCAGATGCCATGATCTTAGTTTTCTGAATGTTTAGCTTTAAGCCAACTTTTTCACTCTCCTTTTTCACTTTCATCAAGAGGCTCTTTAGTTCTTCTTCAGTTTCAGCTGTAAGGGTGGTGTCATCTGCATATCTGAGGTTATTGATATTTCTCCTGGCAATCTTGAATCCAGCTTGTGCTTCTTCCAGCCCAGCATTTCTCATGATGTAGTCTGCATATAAGTTAAATAAGCAGGGTGACAATATATAGCCTTGACGTACTCCTTTTCCTATCTGGAACCAGTCTTTTGTTCCACGTCCAGTTCTAGCTGTTGCTTGCCAACCTGCATACAGATTTCTCAAGAGGCAGGTCAGGTGGTCTGGTATTCCCATCTCTTTCAGAATCTTCCACTGTTTATTGTTATCCATACAGTCAAAGGTTTTGGCATAGTCAATAAAGCAGAAATAGATGTTTTTCTGGAACTCTCTTGCTTTTTCTATGATCCTGCGGATGTTGGCAATTTGATCTCTGGTTCCTCTGCCTTTTATAAAACCAGCTTGAACATCTGGACAAGAGTGAACATCGACATTCTAGGAATCAGCGAACTAAGATGGACTGGAATGGGTGAATTTAACTCAGATGACCATTATATCTACTACTGTGGGCAGGAATCCCTTGGAAGAAATGGAGTAGGCATCATAGTCACCAAAACAGTCTGAAATGCAGTACTTGGATATAATCTCAAAAATGATAGAATGATCTCTGTTCATTTACAAGGCAAACCATTCAATATCACAGTAATCCAAGTCTATGCCCCGACCAGTAATTTTGAAGAAACTGAAGTTGAACAGTTCGATGAAGATCTACAAGACCTTCTAGAACTAACACCCAAAAAAGATGTCCTTTTCATTATAGGGGACTGGAATGCAAAAGTAGGAAGTCAAGAAACACCTGGAATAACAGGCAAATTTGGTCTTGTAGTACAGAATGAAGCAGGACAAAAGCTAAGAGAGTTTTGCCAAGAAAATGCACTGGTCATAGCAAACACCCTCTTCCAACAACAGAAGAGAAGACTCTACACATGGACATCACCAGATGCTGGACACTGAAATCAGATTGATTATATTCTTTGCAGTCAAAGATGGAGAAGCTCTATACAGTCAGCAAAAACCAGACTGGGAACTGACTGTGGCTCAGATAATGAGCTCCTTATTGCCAAATTCAGACTGAAATTTAAGAAAGTGGAGAAAACCACTAGACCATTCAGGTATGATCTAAATCAAATCCCTTATGACTATACAGTGGAAGTAAAAAATAGATTTAAGGGATTAGATCTGATAGACAGAGTGCCTGATGAACTATGGATGGAGGTTCGTGACATTGTACAGGAGACAGGGATCAAGAGCACCACCAAGAAAAAGAAATGCAAAAAAGCAAAATGTCTGTCTGAGGAGGCCTTACAAATAGCTGTGAAAAGAATGGAAGCAAAAAGCAAAGGAGAAAAGGAAAGATATATCCATTTGAATGCAGAGTTACAAAGAGTAGCAAGGAGAGATAAAAAAGCCTTCCTCAGTGATCAATGCAAAGAAATAGAGGAAAACAGTAAAATGGGAAAGACTAGAAATCTGTTCAGGAAAATTAGAGATACCAGGGGAAAATTTCATGCAAAGATAGGCACAATAAAGGACAGAAATAGTAGGGAACTAACAGAAGCAGAAGATATTAAGAAGAGGTGGCAAGAATACACAGAACTGTACAAAAAAGATCTTGATGACCCAGATAATCATGATGGTGTGATCACTCACCTAGAGCCAGACATTCCAGAATGTCTGGAATGTGAAGTCAAGTGGACCTTAAGAATCATCACTGCAAACGAAGCTAGTGGAGATGATGGGATTCCAGTTGAGCTATTTCAAATCCTGAAAGATGATGCTGTGAAACTGCTGCACTTAATATGCCAGCAAATTTGGAAAACTCAGCAGTGGCCACAGGACTGGAAAAGGTCAGCTTTCATTCCAATCCCAAAGAAAGGCAATGCCAAAGAATGCTCAAACTACCGCACAATTGCATTCATCTCACACGCTAGTAAAATAGTGCTTAAAATTCTCCAAGGCAGGCTTCAATAATACGTGAACCACAAACTTCCAGGTATTCAAGCTGGTTTTAGAAAAAGCAGAGGAACCAGAGATCAAATTGTCATCTAGATTACCATATCACATTCAATTATCATGTCTCCTTAGTCTCTTTGGGTTATGACAGTATGACAGCTTCTCAGACTTCCTTTTTTTGACAACATTGGGTTTTGAAGAGTACTGGTCAGGTGTTCCGTAGAATGTCCCTATACTTGAAAATTCATATTTTTTTCATGATTAGATCTGGGTTATTAATTTGGGAAAGAAGATCACAGAAGTAAAGTGCCATATTCATCACATCATATCAAGGCTATTAACATGATTTGTTACTGTTGATGTTCCCCTTGATCATCTGGATGAGGTTGTATTTTTCAGATGTCACCTGTGTAAAATTATACCATTTTACCCCCTTTCATACAAAAGGTACTTATTAGGTACTCACTAGGAGGAAGTACTCTTTAGGAGGAAGTCACTTTGTACATCCCACAATAAGGAGTGGAGAGCTGTTTTCCACTTCCTTGAGGGCTGAGTATCTACATAAACTCCTTGGCATGATTTTGCATGAGAGATTTGTGACTTCTCTCCCATTTATTTATTTATATAATCTTATTAACTTTTATTGTATTCCTTTTATTTTACACATATATTAATTTTGTAATTATTTTAAAATAAGAATATTTTAAAATTCCTTAGCAAATTATTAACCAATTTTGGACTTCAGAAGTTAGGAACACTCAAGCTTATTAGAAAGGACCTATGGAGTTTGAAGAGGGGTTTCGCAGGTAGCGCAGTGGTAAAGAATTAGCTGCCTGCTAATGCAGGAAGTGCAAAAGATGCATGCTGGTTTGATTCCTGGGTTAGGAAGATCCCTGGAGTAGGAAATGGCAACCTGCTCCAGTATTCTTTCCTGGAAGATTCCATGAACAAAAGAGCCTGGTGGGTCCATGGAGACACAAAGAGTCCAACATGACTGAGTGAGTACATACACACACATGGAGTTTGAAAATACAACACATTGTGTACTCATTCTCTGTTAGTAATGTGTCCCAGGTGGTGCTAGTGGTAAAGATGCTGCTTGCCAGTGCAAGAGACATAAGAGACATGAGTTCAATCCCTGGGTTGGGAAGGTTTCCAGGAGAAGGGCATGGCAACCCACTCCCGTATTCTTGCCTGGAGAATCCTATGGACAGAGGAGCCTGGCAGACTACGATCCATAGGGTCACAAAGAGTCAGACATGGCTGAAGCTGCTTAGCACACACATTCTCATTTAGACCATAGAAAGCAACTTATACAAATATTTAGCATTACTACTGCTTAGGGAGTAAGAAGGTTGCATCTGCAGATCAAAGATGAAGCCGACAGAAGGCTTTCTCATTGTATACAGTCTCAGAGCATGTTAGGCTTCCTGACTTCAAGGTAGGTTGCAAGGAGCTAACCTTCATTTTGCAAACTCTTGGACCCCCTTGTCCTATACTTGGAAATGATATGTATATATCATGCTTTTCTTGTATACAACTGGAAACTTCATGGGATAGAATTTTTCAATTGTTTCCTTTGAAAAAAAAAATATATATATAAAATTGAAGTATAATTGTTTTGCAATATTATGTTAGTCCTCTGTACAATGAAGTGAATGAATTATATGTAAATATACATATTTCCCCTCCCTCTTGGACCTCCTTCCCACCTCCCCGCATCCCACTGATCTATGTCATCAGTGGTATAGATGAACCTATTTCCAGTACAGGAATGAGATGCAAACATAGAGGACAAACATAATTATTAATATTTCCTCCCTACAAAACTACCTAAAAGTAAATTTTTGAAACTCTAAATCAGCATACTATTAATAATAACCTTAATATCACATTATACCCCAATTATTGCTCTTTTATATATATTATCAATAACTTAATATTTCTCATACATTGTAATTTTTTTCCAGATATTTCAGTCAGCCTGTTAGCAGTTGTTGTCAGCTTTTGTGGCCTGGCCTTGCTGGTTGTTTCACTTTTTGTCTTCTGGAAGTTATGCTGGCCTTTCTGGAAGAGCAAACCCATGACTTCCAACATCAGTACCCTTCCACAGAGCATGTCAAGTGCTCCCACTGAAGTTTTTGAGACTGAAGAGAAAAAAGAGATTAAAGAAAATGGAGAACCAGCACTAAAAGTTATTGAGCCTGCAATAAAAATCAGCCACACTTCCCCTGATATCCCAGCCGAAGTCCAAACTGCTGTAAAAGAACCTTTAGTTAAACATGCACGTGTGCAAAGACAAACAACTGAGCCTACATCTTCATCCCGGTAAGGAAAGATCAAATAAACAAAACTATTTGGGCTGTGTGTGTGTCTGTATTTGTGTGTTGTATGTGATTTTCTAAGGGAGAAAAACTGAGGTGGGAAGGGAGAAAAGACAAACAAGAGAAATGAGAAAGACAGAGGAAAGTAAATAATAGAGTAACGAGGGAATTGATAGGACAGAATAAATAGGGATGAAGAGAAAGAAATTGAGGACAAAGTCAGACAGAGAGTGGTACCATGAAAGGTAGAGGTTTCATTAAAATAATCTAATTAGAGGTTTATTTATTGGATTTTTTCCTTTGAAATATTTTTGGTTGATTTCAAGTCTTTCAATTTAGTTTAATACAATCAATAAATATCAAGAAATCAGCCATTTGCCTTGTGTTCCATTAAATCATCTACAAGTTCACAATCAAAACCGAGTAACAGAGGCTAATGTTTAGTTTACACTTGTTTAGCACCTATACCATAAACTGCTAGAAAATTTCATTGCTTATTGGAACTCATAGACCAAACTATTATGGTAAATTCCAGAACAGCTTTGGTGACTATCATGAGCATAGCAAGAGTGTACATGAAGGGAAGACAGAGGGAAACCTCCTTAAAGTGATACATTTTAAGGAGGAACAATTTAATTCAGCCTGGAAAAATCAGCAAAAGTTTACTTGAACAAAAACAATTTGCTATAGTGTATTTCAAATTGTGTTAACTGTAAATGGGAAAAAGATTCTTATGAAAAGACTTTTTTCTACTAAGTATGGTCTTCAATCTTTAACATGAAAAACCAACATGTTATTGTAATAGTAGCACTGTTTCTGATAATAACAGTCTAATAGTAGCAGTGTTTCTCTGATTCCCAGATGTAACAACTAGTTTTACCCTAGGGACATGGTAAAAATCAAAAGCAATGGGGGTAAGTGATGTTTTATGCTAAACAATTGACTTCCCAATCTTACCTTCCTATCTCTCTAAATCAAAGATGCATTCATGCTTTCTGACATGACGCACTTTTTGTGGATTTGGAAATCTGTCAAGTTGAAAAACTACAAGGGTCATGTTTGCTATTAGGATTGAAAGAATATTCAATATATCTTTTGTAAAATTTTTAAAAAGAATTGTATCTATAAATAAACCATCTTCTTTCTGAGATAAATTCCAGTGAGATAAGTAAGAATAATTGTTACTTCAGGGATGAGGAACTTTGGGGTAAGGAGGATGGATGGAAGTGTTATACTTTTCAAGCTATTTAAATTTTATAACCTAGATGTGCTCTGTGTTTAGTTGCTATGCTGACAGGTTTTCCTGAGCGCTGCATTCATTCACTTTTGTGATCCAGTATACATTAATTTAAATTTATCTATAGATAGTTAACTCTAAAATAATTATTCCATATGCTTCTTCTTTATATTTATAGGAAAAATGCTTTAAAATTATTTCATGTAGTTATTTGATTATCATTACTATCTTTACTATCAAAACTTCAAACTGTGGCCAAATATGATATTTAATAAAGACTTAACATACTCAGAAATTTCAGGGTGAAAATATTCAATTAATCTACAAGATATTTTTTAAAATATTGATACTCTCTGTGACTATATATCAACTTAGTGTTCAGAATTATTCAAATATTTCAGTGGATAAGTGCTCCCCACATAAAGACACTCAATTAATGAAAATAACTTGGGCTTCTCAGGTGATAATCTGCCTACCAATGCAGGAGACACAGAATACGTGAGTTTATACCCTGGGTCAGGAAAATGTCTTGGAGGATGAAATGACAACCCACTCCAGTGTTCTTTCCTGGAAAATTCCATGGGCAGAGTAGCCTGTCAGGTTGCAGTCCATGGGGTTGCAAAGAGTTAGACACAACTGAATGATTGAGGATGTACAATAAGAAAAACTTGCCTTTCTTTGCTCAATTTTTTTTAGAAACCTCAGAAAAATAAAACACTATCTCCAAAATATTATCTGTTGAACATAAACAAACAACTTATCCAATTATCACTAGCTTCCCTGGTAGTTCAGACGGTAAAGCGTCTGCCTACAATGCGGGAGACTCGGGTTCGATACCTGGGTCAGGAAGATCTCCCTGGAGAAGGAAATGGCAACCCAGTCTAACATTCTTGCCTGGAAAATCCCAGGGACTGAGAATCCTGGTAGGCTACAGTCCATGGGGGTTACAAAGAGTCGGACATGACTGAGCGACTTCACTTCACTTCACTTCTGGGGAGAATGAAAGAATACATACTGAGAACACAAGTTTGAAGAATTGGTTTTGGATGCAGAATTGCTGTCTAGAAATAAAATACAGTAGAGAGTGACAACACGTCATTTTAGCACTAAATTTCTCAGTCAGTCAGTCACCCAGTCATGTCTGACTCTTTGTGACCCCATGGACTGAAGCCCACAAAGCTCCTGTCCATGGAATTTTCCATGGAATTGTCCATGGAATACTGGAGTGGACTGTCATTTCATACTCCAGGAATTTCTCAGTAATTATAAGAAATCAAATCAGAAAAAAATCCTTTTTTCTATTAATCCTAAAAAACATAAAGATGGCATTGTACATATGTCTCATATTTTTTTAAGAGAAAAAGTATAATACAGATTCACAGTTTTTCTATAAGTTTGATATCATTGGCCTCTTTGAATTTCCTTGTTTATGAATGGTTGGGGGAGGAAGAAAATGAAATATCATTTTTGAGTGCTTGCAGTTTAGTCACCATGCCAGCATCCTTTCTGCTAATCCTCTGCCAGCCTGCATGAAGTTAATATTATTAATTATCGCTATTACTTGTGAGTTAACTGAAACCCAGAGAGATTTTAAAAATTTCCTAAAGAAATGCAGCTGGTGAATATTAGAACTCACATTTATCCAGATTGATGGAACACATTTTTAGAGTTAAAGCCAAGGAGATATGGTTTTTTTCACAATCAAAGATGTTACAAACAAGGACCTGCTGTATAGCACATGGAACTCTGTTCAGTGTTATGTGACAGCCTGGACAGGAGAGGAGTTTGGGGGAGAATGGATACATGTATATGTATGGCTGAGTCCCTTCACTGTTCATCTGAAACTATCACGATATTGTTAATCAGTTATACCCCAATACAAAATAAAAAGTTTAACAGAAAAAAAGATGGTTACAAAGTCCACTGAGGACAGGTAGCTTGGAGGTTGGCGAATGAGGGCATCTTCCTGCTCATTCTGCTCAGTTAGAAATGTGGAATTATATGTGGTTATCATGAATAGCTAGTCATGATTTTAATCTGTTTGACCTTGGGATGAATTTCTTGCAGAAAACTTGATTATTTCTACTTCTCAAAATTCCCCATCTATGTTAATTACTTCATCATACTAAAATTACCTTTATATATAGAGGAAGGGGAAATTGCTGAGTTTATTATACAGACAGAGAGCTTGAGGGCACATTATTATAAATTGGATTATTCTGCTCAAATGCTAACTTTTCACTGAAGTCTGGCAATATCAGGAACCCTCCCCGCCCAACCCACACAGTAATTTAACTTTAATGCTTGGTTCTCTCACCTTATTAGGATATCCCAGCTCTAGTCTGATTAGGACTCCCTTTTATTTGGCTTAGACAATAGATGACAAGCATCATATTCTCTCAACTTTTACTTGTCTCTATTATTAAGTGACATCCTAATTAGTTAACAACACGCTAGAAACTATCACATTTCTCAAGTTCTCATCTTGCTTTTCAAATATTTGGACATTTGACCTCATCAGCCTGCTGGCAGCCCAACAGCCCAACAGATGTCTGTGTATTTCTTATTATTAACATTATTCTAGCATCTATCTTGATTGCTTTTTCATTCATCCAGTAGTCTTACTTAATAGATATAGTCAGTAGATATAACTTTTAAGTATAGTCAGGGTATTCTGCATACTCTATCTGATCTGCAACTCTAGGGAACTGAAAAAAATATCCACAACATAATGCAGAAAGATAAGAAACATAAGAAATTACAATATTCAAAATTACAAGTACATACTGTGTGGTGGAAAATGTGGATTTAAGAGAATAGAAAAATCATTGCCAGCTGAGGCATGGATCTGAGGCCAAAGGAAACTAGAAATTCACATAAATGGCAATTTGAAGAGGGTATGCATTCCAGATGGAAACATTTTATATGGAAAGACACAGAATAGGAAATCTTGCTATGAAAACATCAGGTAAGTTGCCTTGATCAGAAAATAGAGGTCAGTTGAGGAATAACTGAAGATAAAGTCAGTTGGAATTAAAGTCTGAGAAGGGCTTGAAATCATGGACAAAATGTTCAAGGTCTGTCCTGTCAAAAATATTTGTGTCAGAAGAGTCTCTTGGTTAAAGAGCTGTGTTTAGTAAAATTAATTTGACAACAGTTTGTAGGGCAGGCTGTAGAAAAAGACATCTATTTTGAAAGTAATATAGTAGTTCAGGCATGATAAAAATCAGGAAGTTGCAAACAACAACAAAAGGAAAACTGAGAAAAGTTATAAAGGAAGAATCTAAGATTTCATAAAAAATATTGTGACACTTCTATCATTCCAAGTCTATTCCAATCCTAGACTAAAAGCTTGAAATTCAAACTTTTGATGTTTGATGTATGTGTCTGATGATGCCAAGCTGCCGTTATAATGTTTAAGGTTGATATTTCCTCACACATATAGCCCTGCCTTCTTAGGCAGAAAATCTGCTGATATCACTTCTGTATTTCTCTTGACACCTAGACAAAGCATTATAGAAATTCAGGACATATTTTTTGAATTTAAAAAGTCAGTAAATGAATTTGATAACTTCATCTTATCTATCCAAATGGGTCTTTCATGGTTATCAGTTAAAAAGGTTCTTGGTCTTTTTATCATCCTCCTGTAGATCTCAACTGTATTCTTCTGTGCTTGTTTCCCTTATCTAGAATGAAAAACTATTTTATTCACTATAAGATCTTTAAGGAAATAAAACTTTTTCTATCCAATTATCAGTTATTGTCCT